CACAGGGGTTACTCCTGGTTTTGCACTCAGGAATTATTCCTGGCGGTGCTCGGGGGACCATATGGGATGCTGGGAATCGAACCCAGGTCAGCCACGTGCAAGGCAAACACCCTACCCGCTGTGCTATTGCTCCAGCCCTGCAATAGAGGGATTTAAACTTAGAAATTGTTAGGTTTTTATGGAGATGCTGGGGATCAAATTCAGAGCCTCACACATGCAAGGCAAGCTGTCTATGGCTGAGCTATGTAGTCTGGCCCTTACTTTCTTTTGCAGTTGTAGTTTTGTTAGTGGTCTTACTCAGTTCCCTACCCATGTTTTCACAAATAATCTTAAGACCTATTTTCAGGTGCCTGACGAAATGACAAGGATGGAAAGACCTTGCATCTGCTGCAAAATAATAAAAAAATAATAATACTTACAATTTAAAACAAGGGGCCGGAGCATTAGTAAAGCATGTAGGACTATTTGCCTTGCACGCAGCTGACCTGGGTTCAATCCACAGCACCCCGTATGGCCCCCTGAGCACTTCCAGGAGTGATTCCTGAGTACAGAGCCAGGAGTGACCCTGATTACACCAGGTGTGACCCCAGAAACAAAAAAAAACCCCAAAATTAAAACAAATAAGTAGCTTTGGGCTTCTTGTCTGCCTCTAAAACAGAAAATCTTGAATCAAATAGCTGAAGGGAAGTCAAATAATAATTGCTTGTGTCATATTTTTTTTCAAAAAACGATTAAAAAGATTTAGTGTTTAGCATGCTTCGTTAAGGGGGATACACTTAGTAGTAGTAGTATTTTGTTTGGGGATTACATGTGGCAGTAGTCAGGGCTTACTCCTAGCTGTGTGCTCATGAATCACTCCTTGGGGTGGGGGGGGACTGTGCATGGTGTCAGGGACCCCCATTAGGGCAGCGTGTGCAAACAAGCATCTTGCCCCCTGTAACATTCCTCCGGACCTCAATTGCTATTATTATTTTGTTTTCATCTTGGGCTATCGACAGGGCTGACTCCTGCCCCTGCATTCAGGAATGTGCTCCCGATGGTCGGTACATCCTCTGGGGACCATATGGGGGAGACACGAATTGAATCCAATCTGGCCATATGCAAGGCAAGCACCCTGCTTGCTGTGCTAAGTCTTGAACACCCCTGCAGTTATTATTATTTTGTTTGGGGGCCACAGCCAGAGGTGCTCAGGATTTACTCCTGGCTCTGTGCTCAGGAATCACTCCTGGCGGGACTCAGAGGACCACTTGTGATGCCAGGAATCTGATCTGGGTCGGCTGCGTACAAGGCCAGCATCTTACTGTGTAGTATGTCTTCGGCTCCCCTGCAGCTGTTAATAATGATGTAATGGCTAACTTTCATTAGATACATCCTGTATGTTACTGTAGGGCCTTTGTATTACATGCCAGGCCTCAGTGAATGGTTTCTGGAAAAGGCCAGATAGTGAATCAATCTATCTTTCTTTCTTTCTTTCTTTCTTTCTTTCTTTCTTTCTTTCTTTCTTTCTTTCTTTCTCTCTTTCTTTCTTTTTTTCTTTTGCCAGGCCTTAGTGAACTTTTCTGAAAAAGGCCAGATAGTGAATCTTTCTTTCTTTCTTTCTTTCTTTCTTTCTTTCTTTCTTTCTTTCTTTCTTTCTTTCTTTTCCTTCCTTCCTTCCTTCCTTCCTTCCTTCCTTCCTTCCTTTATTTCTTTCTCTTTTTGGGTCACACCCAGCGATGCTCAGGGGTTATCCTAGCGCTGCACTCAGGAATTATTCCTGGCAGTGCTCGGGGAACCATATGGGATGCCGCGGAAATCGAACATGGGTTAGTCATGTGCAAGGCAAACGCCCTACCCTCTGTACTATCTCTCCAGCCCATAGTGAATATTTCAGGCCAGCTGTTTGCAGAACTTAACTCTGCCATTGTGAGAAAGCAGCCTCAGATGAATGGTCAATGGTGTTGTGTGCCAATGACACTTAATTTAAAGGACACTGAAATTTGAGTCATAGCATTCGAACGCGCCATGAGCTCTCTCCATCATAAAAAAGTAAAAACCCACTTGTACTTTAGGGATTATAAAAAACAGACAGTGGCTAAATATGACCTATGGACCAAAATCTGGGGTTAGTGGACCCCTGAGTTACATCTTTGCTCTCTCTCTATTTACTTTTTGGGTGACACCCAGCGATGCTCAGAGGTTACTCCTGGCTCTGCACTCATGAGCTACTCCTGGCAGTGCTCGGGGGACCATATGGGATGCCAGGGATTGAACTTGGGTCTGCTGTGTGCAAGGCAAACACCCTAACTACTGTACTATGGCTCTGACCCCCGCTCTTATTTTTTAATTAAATTTTTAGGGGGGCACATCTGGTGGTGCTCAGGACTTACTCCTGTCTGTCTGCGCTCAGGCATCACTTCTGGTCGGGCTTGGGGGACCATATAGGGTGCTTGGGGACCAAATAGGCCACGTACAAAGGCAAGCTTCCCACCCGCTGTACTTTTATGTTTTGTTTTGTTTTTGTTTGTTTTTTGGCTTTTTGGGTCACACCTGGCGATGCTCAGGGGTTACTCTCCTGGCTCTGCACTCAGGGGTCACTTCTGGCAGTGCTCAGGACCCTGTGGGATGCAGGGGATCAAACCCTCGGGTCAGCTGCATGCAAAGCGATCCCCCCCCCCGCCCCCCCCGTACTGTCGCTCCGGCCCCTGTACTATCTTTTAATCCTCACAACCACTTATGTGATTTTTTTTATGTCGGTGTATTTGAATATGGAGTTCTTTTCAACAGAGATTTTATTTTAGTGATATTTGAAGCTCACAGCCAAACTGAGCAGACAGTACTAAGTACTGAGCTCCCACATTCTTCCTGCCCCCCCACCCCCCCGTGGCTTGGCCTCTCCTGCTGTCAACATCCCGCATAGGAGGGGCGTATTTGCTATGGTCACATGATTATCACACAGTCCATAGGTTCCACTCCAGCTTGTACTTGGTGTGCCATGTGTGGGCTTGAAGAAATCTATAAAGACCTGTCCCCATTGTTACAGGTCACCGGGCAGTTTCCCAGGACTGGGCCCTCCCTGCGGCCTGACACCCATTGTTTTGTTTTTCCTCTTTCCTTCCCCTTTGTTGTGTGTGTCTGTGGGTGGCTGGGGGGGGGGGGCTCACACTTAGATGGGGTGTTTGCATGTCTGCAATCTCTGATCTTTGCCCTAGCTAATCTTTTTTTATTTTATTTTATTTTTTGCTTTTTGGGTCACACCCGGCAATGCACAGGTGTTAGTCTCCTGGCTCTGCACTCAGAAATTACTCCTGGCTGTGCTCAGGGGACCATTTGGGATGCTGGGAATCGAAGTCGGGTCGGCCTCGGCTACGTGCAAGGCAAACGTCCTACCCGCTGTGCGATAGCTCCAGCCCCTCCCTAGCTAATCTTGATTTTCCCAGAACGTCAGAGCGTTGGAATGGAAGATGTGTTGCCCTTTCATACTGTTTTTGTCACTTTGTAATAGATAGCTAAGGCTCCTCAATGCCTTTTTTATGACTCATCAGCTCATTTTTTAAAAATTTTTTCTTTTAAATTAAATCTCAGCGAGATGCATAGTTACAAAGTTGTTCATGATTAGGTTTCGGTGATACACTGTTCCAACACCCTCCCTGCACCAGTTTTCACCACCAGTGCCCCCAGTTTCCCTCCTTCTAGCCCACATCCCCTGTCTGCCTCTGCAGCAGACACTTCTCTCTCTCTCTTTCTTTCTTTCTTTCCTTCTGGGCATTATGGTTTGCAGTGCAGGTACTGCAAGGTTATCATGTATATCCTTAACCTCCTTTCAGCACTCAGTTCTTGTCCAGAGTGATCACTTCCAACCATCATTGTCATAGTGCTCCCTTCTCTATCCTAACTGTCCTCTCCCCCACACACACGCTTGTGGCAAGCTTCCGGTGATTTTTCTTTTTTGGGGGGATTGCTTGCAGAACCAATGAACTTGACATTGTTATCACACAAAGTCATTGGATGCATTCCAGAAACTTAGGTCCTCCCACGTGCCAAGCATTCTTTCTGCCACTAAGGTCCATCCTGGGTCACCAGGAAAAGTTTGATTTCTCCTAATGAAGTTTGTTTCTTGAGTGAGTAAGGTCGATGGAGCTAGTGGCAGTTTCCCAAAATTCAAGGTTTGGGGATCAGAGAGATGGGACAGTGACTAAGGCACTTGCCTTGCACGTGGCCTCCCTGGGTTCAATTCCCAGGTCCTCTGAGCCCTGTCAGGAGTCATTCCTGAGCAGAGCGCCAGGGGTAAGCCCTGAGTACTGCTGGGCGTGGCCTCCCAACAAAAACAAAACAAAAAATTCAAGGTCTGGAAGATGACATCGATTCTAAATTTCAGTTACTCATTTAGGTCAGTGATTGATCGTCAATTGATCATCAACCTCTTTTTTTGTGTGTGTGAGGGGTGGGTGGGCAGGTTTGGGCCACTCCTGGTGGTGCTGAGGGAAGTATGGTGCCAGGGGTCAAGCTGGGATTGCTCCATGCCATAAGCCCTGGGATGTTGCTCCAGTCCCAGGTTTTCAACCTTTTTATACCTGGTGGTTGAAAATTGCAGGTTAAGATAGAACATTCTGTGGTTTCGTGATTCTGGGCTAACACACTCTGCTTACTGTCTTAGGAGTATGTTGTCTTTGGCAGGGAGACAGCCCAAAGGACTGAGCATATGCTTTGCACGTGAGAGCCCAGGGTTTGGCCCCTGGCATGTGGGGGTTCCTAAGCACCACCAGGTGTAATCCTTAAAAGGTAAAAACAGGGGGCTGGAGCGATAGCACAGCGGGTAGGGCATTTGCCTTGCACGCGGCCGACCTGGGTTCGATTCCCAGCTTCCCATATGGTCCCCTGAGCACCGCCAGGAGTAACTCCTGAGTGCAGAGCCAGGAGTAACCCCTGTGCATCGCCAGGTGTGACCCAAAAAGCAAAATAAATAAATAAATAAAAGATAAAAACAAACAAAACGTGATCCCTAATTTCCTCACTTTCAGATTGTCTCTGGGTGCTAGCACCCAGTTCTTCCTCTACCAATGAAGTACGTCCTGGTCACGGGTGGAGTCATCTCCGGCATTGGGAAAGGGATCATCGCCAGCAGCATTGGAACCATCCTAAAGTCCTGTGGACTTCGAGTGACCGCCATCAAAATCGACCCCTACATTAACATCGATGCCGGCACGTTTTCACCTTATGAGCACGGTAGGAAAGCGATCCCTTCTGCCTTCCGCGAGCCCCGGGTTAGTAGCGCGCTATTGCTCTGCGTTTTCCACCCACGTCTGGAGTAACTTCCCGGATAGAGCTGCTGCACCATATGTTATGAATATAAGAATGTTTTCACGGTTGGTACATTTTCCAGAGTATGGACGACTTGCCAAATTAGACAACCCTTTGCGAAGCGGCCCTTTGAACCATCTCCCTGGTCCAACTTTTTGGGGGGCTTTGGACCACACGCAGTGGTACTGGCTTCTGGCTCTGTGTACGAAGGATCGCTCAGTGCTGGGGACTGAACTGGGGTCTGCAAGACAAACAAGGGCTTTAACCCCTGTGTTCTCTCTCAAGTGCTGCTGGCCTGCCGAGCGGTGCCTAGGGGGTCTGTTGGCCTTGGCAGTGCTTGGGATTTAGTAGACCAGTGCTTGATTAATTGCAGAGCCAGCCCCTTGCGCGTTTTTTTTCCCACCCCAGCCAATGCTCAGGGCTTACCCTTGCTTCTGCACTCAGGAACTACTCCTAGTGGTGCTTAAGAGATCATATGGGATGCCAGGGATTGAACCTGGGTCTATGACATGCAAGGCAAATGCCTTCTCTACTGGCCTGTTGCTCCAGCCCCTGACTCTGGTGGTGCTTAGGAGCTTCTAGGTCTATGACTGGTGGTGCCAGCAGGGCACTGAACCTGGGTTGGTCACAAAGCCATGTACCCTAATACTCCTGCCCCTTATATACTGCTTTTTTGGGGGGGGTGAGGGAGGATCACACCTGACAGTGCTTTGGGGCTTGCTCCTGGAGATGCTCAGGGAATTCTGTGGTTCTGGGGCCAGGAGCAGTCAGCCTGTCGAACCATTACTCGGTCCCCTACATACTGTTTTTTTTTTTAACTTTTTATATACAAGCAGGAAAGTGAATAGATCCTAAGTGTACCATCTAGTGTGTCCAGCTTTCAGGCAAAGGAACAGGTCCCCCTTGGGTCCCCTAGGGTCTACCTCAGGGGTTCTGCTATCCTGTATTCTAACACTGTAAAAGGTTTCGCTTGGTTTTGAACTTGGAATGACTCGAATCTGACAATCACTGTTTTTATTTTCAGTTTGTTTGGGGGCCATGCCCTTCGGTGCTCGGTTTCTATTCCTCACTTACCGCTTGGGGGTGGCTCCCAGTGGTGCTTGGGGTACCGGGGATTGCACCCCAGTCTTAAATTCCAGGCTCCTCCATACGAAACATGAGCTCCAGCTCTTTTGAATGATTTCACCCTTGAATTTATTCCTATTGTCCAAACAGTATACTCTGTACATTTTAATATATTTTATACTATCCCAGAGTGGACAGGCCATGCAGTTACAGAAAATGTGTTCTAGTGTGTTGAGATTATGAACAACAGTCTGATGGAAACCTTTAGAATTAATTTTTGTGTTTGTGTGTGTGTGTGTGTGTGTGTGTGTGTGTGTGTTTGCAGTGCCAGAGATTGAACCCAGGGTCTTGCAAATGCAAAGCAAGTGCCCTGCTGTTGAGCTATATCCCCTGCTCCCCAATAAAGTTTTTTTATGTACATATCTTTTTTTTTTACACTTTTTTTTTTTAGTGAGACACCATGAGGTACAGTTGTAGACTTACAAATTTTGTGCTTGGGTTTCAATTATACAATGATCAAAAAATATGGAACACTTCACGAATTTGAGTGTCGTCATCCTTGCGCAGGGGCCATGCTAATATTCTCTGTATCGTTCCAATTTTAGTTTATGTACTGCCGAAGCGAGCACTGAAGTTTTATTTTTTATACATAAAGGCTATGTGCAGAATTTCTGATGCATTGTGTAGGTTAGGTGTGTTTTTCAGCCTTTTGGTCCAATAATGTGCATTGTCCAACGTTTTTCAATGAATCATTCCTTATAACTAACTCTGGAATCCCAAAGGTTTAAGTTCTCTGTAAGCTTGAGGCTCTTTATAGTCTCTTGACATTTGCTGAAAATTGAAAAAGCTTCATAAAGCTGTGACCAGCTCTAGCCTGTTATTTTACTTAGAGTAGGTTTGATTCTGGGGTGCTTTTGGTACATCTCCTAATATATGAAAAGTGTTCTCTCTTTTATCTTTCTTTAATCTCAAAACTGCCATGTTCCAACTCTGTCTTTGTCTTCCAGATTTTCTGACCAGCCCCCGATTCTATCTCACTGTCTCCTCCTCATCCTTGTCTAAGATGGCCCTTTGAAAAATAGATATGCTTGTTGATTTTTTAACCTTTCTAAACCCAAGAAGAAAAGGAACAGTCGCCTCAGAGCCCGCGTTGTTTCTGTTGAGATTTCTTTGATTTTCATTTTCCATGGACTAGCTTGTTCAGTCCAGCCATGGACTGCATGCCTGTCAGAAGCTGCCGCCCTCCCTCCCAGTACAGTTCCCCTTGACTTTGGACTTTGCCTGCCGAGGCTGGCTAACCCTCCTGGTTGGTTTGCTAGTTCCCTGCTTTGGAAAGTGAAAGTCCTGCATCCTGGGAACCCGGAGAGGCCTGGATAACCCAGAGAGGTTGGTCTTTGCATTGGACCGTGTGGTGTGTTTGGCAGTACAAACTGTTAGCGTGGCCTGTCTTGTTGAAGCCAAAACGCTCAGCACAAGAGCATGGTCTGCTGTGGTCTGGCTGCTCCTGGCTGCTGCCCCTGGGATAGTTTCTCTAGGTGCGGTTCTCTCCTTCTGCCTGGGACCTGGGGGGACACACACGGAGGCTCAGCTGCAATGGGAAGCTGCCTTAGGGGCTGCTCACTCTTCTGGAAGTTGCTGAGGTTTTAGAATGTGTGTGAGGTCTGTTGTCCTTTGGACATTTCCCCCCCCACCTTTAGGATTTCCAAGAATACTTTGAGGTTTATTAACCTCTGTCATATACATATATTTTCCACTCTGAAAATTGGCTTAATTTTATCTGTTAGATACAGCAAAAGTTTACCATTGGTCTGATTAAATGCCTCACCTGTTTCCTTTGTGGGTTCCTTCTTTGTGGTTCCCACATTTTCTCTATCCGGGAATCTTTTTTTTCTTTAATTTTTTTGGGGGGGATTTTTTTTAACGAATCACCGTGAGATACAGTGACTTACAAACTTTCATGATTACGTTTCAGTCGTACAATGTTCTAGTACCCATCCCTCCACCTGTGCCCATTCTCCACCACCAATGTTCCCAGTATCCCTCCTGCCACCCCCATCCCATCCCCCGCTGCCTCTGTGGCAGGCACATTCCCTTTTACTGTCTCTCTCTTTTTGGGTGTTATGGCTTACAATACAGGTACTAAGTGGCCATCACGTTCGGTCCGTAGTCTTCCGTCAGCACTATGCGGGAATCTTGAACCTGTATTTTCTCCAGTCTGTATTTTCTCCTTCCTTCCACGTTGCTAGCATATGTGGAATTTGATTTGGCATGAAGTGAGAAGAAAACATTTTTTCTCCTCCATTCTTCCTGATTCATCAACTGTTCCCAATCGTATTTATTAAAGATTTAAACAGGCTTTTTTTTTAAATTCTAGGCTCCATGATGAGACTGTTAATGATAGAGTTTAAGTATATAACATTCCTTCTGCTATAGACATTTCTGTAACTACTTGCCACATATTTACTTTACTGGAAATAGGTTCCTTTTATATTAAAAAAATAATAAGATCTATAGCATTCTATCATCACGCCCTCCACCAGTGTCCACTTGCCTTCACCATTATCAAAGGTTTTTATCCTTACTCCAAGATTTGATTAGCACCTTTTATTGCTTCCCACATTTCCTTTTTAATTTGATTTTGGAACCACGTCCAGCGATGCTCAAGGTTTACACCTGGCTCTATGCTAAGGGAGCACAACTGGTCGGCTCTGGGGACCCTATCGGGTGTCAGGCATTGAACCTGGGTTTATTGCATGCAAGGAAAGTGCTCTACCTGCTGGAGTATTGCCCCAGACCCGCTGAATGTTTTTGTTTAAAAAAATTTTAGGGCCACTCCCAGGATAACCTTGGGTCTGGCAGTGCATGGGGGTCACCACAGGGCTACACCTGGTGGTCCTTGGGGACCTATGCCACGCCAGGGATTGAACTCAGGACCAACACGTGGCAGGCTTGTGCTCTATTATTTGAGCTATTTTCCACATTCTGGGAAAGCTAAGGCTTGAAAACAGAATTTCCATAAGCACCGAGAAAATACCATAAGAAGACAGCAGCATTTTCCCTGATGCATTCTTCCTTTTTGTTTTTGGCCAAGTCTGGTTTTATTGAATTTATGGAGGACACTGTGTACCGACAAGGGAACAGACTTTCTTTCTTGGTCTTTTTCTCCCTGAACTCTTCATCTCTTCCTCCTCCTTGGTCCGGACAGTTTCCTCCCAGCGAGGGCTCCGCCAAGAGTATCTTCTGAGCTTGATTTGCATCAGCTTGTGTCCATGACCTGGGAGGATGGCTGGTTTCCAGCACATTCCTCTTTACTTTGGGGTGTGGGCGGTGTGCGATACATGGGGCGCTGTGTCTTCCTTGATTCGCGCTGTCCTTGAGCGGCAGCCTCAGAACTTTCCTCCTTTTCCACGCTTCCCTTCCTGGCGCACAGGCCTTCGGAGGCCCAGCGGCTAGCCAGGGGCTTTTCCTGACTTCCGGTCTGGGAATGGACAGTCACATCACTCTCCTGATGACCTGCCTGCTTTTGTTTAGCTTTCGGATCTGCCAGCGGCAGTTGGTGCTGGCCAATTCTTTATGGTTTCAATGGGGTCCACTGGCCAGTTCTTTGGCTTCACGCCCTCCACAAGTGTCTACTTGCCTCTACCATTATCAAAGGTTTTTATCCTTACTCCCAAGATTTGATTAGCACCTTTTATTACAATCTACATTTCCTTTTTAACTTTTTTTTTGCTTTTTGGGTCACACCTGGCGATGCACAGGGGTTACTCCTCGCTCTACACTCAGGAATTACTCCTGGCAGTGCTCAGGGGACCATATGGGATGCTGGGAATCAAACCCAGGTCGGCCACGTGCAAGGCAAATGCCCTACCCGCTGTGCTATTGCTCCAGCCCCTACATTTCCTTTTTAATTTGATTTTGGGACCACATCCAGCGATGCTCAGGGTTCACACCTGGCTCTGTGCTAAGGGAGCTCGGCCAGTGGGCTCTGGGGACCCTGTGAGGTGTCAGTTCTCTGCCACAGCCGAGGACTCTTCTGATGCCTCCCCACACTCATGCCTCTGGCCACAGGGGGCAAAAGGAAATGCTTCTGCCTCTTCGTGGCAAAAATTCAGTTGTTCAGTACTCTCACCGGAATAAGGACTCTGTGAGAGAAGGTCGCTGATAAATAAGTCTTGCCTGTGCTCTTTGCTAGAATGTTCGCAGCTCCTTGGGAGAATGTGCTCGCATTTGCAAAAGCAGCCTCGCGTGAACCAGATCCTTACGTGCACGCCTTTTCATCGTAGGTGAAGTGTTTGTCTTAAACGATGGTGGAGAAGTTGACCTAGACCTCGGGAATTATGAGAGATTCTTGGATATCAACCTGTTTAAGGACAACAACATCACCACTGGCAAGATCTACCAGCATGTGATCAATAAGGAGCGGCGTGGCGACTTCCTGGGGAAAACAGTGCAAGGTAGCCGGTTCCACCCTCAGCAGGCTCCAGACTGACGTGAGCAGGCCGTGCTCGGCAGCCTCACGCTCATTGCCTTCCTCCTGAGCTGTCCAGGCCACCCTGTGCATTGCCTTTGGACCAGCGTTTTCCCCAATGTCCTCATCACTCCATCTGCTGTCTCCTTTTGGCATTACATAGAGGGGGCCAGAGCCATAGTACAGTGGGGAGGGTGTTTGCCTTGCATGCGGCTGACCCAGTTCCATCCCCGCCCCCTACAACCAGCATCCCAGAATCTAAAGTCCCCATTTTACCTTTGTTCTGGGTCCAGTCTGAAAGAACTCAACTGGGTCTGCCTTGTCCAAATCAAGCTGCTTCTAGGGGCCGGAGCAAAAGTACAGCGGGGAGGGCATGTTCCTTGCATGCAGCCAAACCTGGGTTTGATCCCCGACATCCCATATGGTCCCCCGGGCATCACCAGGAGTAATTGCTGAGTGCAGAGCCAGGAGGAACCTCTGAGCATTGCCGGGTGTGCCCCCTCTAAAAAGCCCCCCTCAATAGAAAATATAGACACACACACGTTTGCCTTGCACACAGCCAACATGGATGACCCGAGTTCGATTCCTCCGCCCCTCTCGGAGAGCCCGGCAAGCTACCGAGAGTATTCGATATGCCAGACACAGTAACAACAAAGTCTCCAATGGAGACGTTACTGGGCCCACTCGAGCAAATCGATGATTAATGGGAGGGCCTTTACCTTTACCTTTACACATATAGGTATTTGGGTTTTGGTTATACCTAGTGTTGTGGGTAGGGCATTTGCCTTGCCTGTGGCCGACCCGGGTTCGATTCCTCCATCCCTCTCAGAGAGCCAAGAGTATCCCGCCCGCATGGAAGAGCCTGGCAAGCTCCCCGTGACGTATTTGATATGCCAAAAACAGTAACAATAAATCTCACAATGGAGATGTTACTGGTGCCCGCTTGAGCAAATCGATGAACAGGAGGACAGTGCTACAGTGCTACCTGGTGATGCTCAGGGCTTACTCCTGGTTCTGTGCTCAGTGCTTATTCCTGGCGGGGCTCAGGGGACCATATGGGATGCCGGGGTTTGACCCCCAGTTAGCCATGTGCAAGGTAAACGTCTTACCTTCTCGACTCGCCCTCTACTCCCGTCTCCTCTTTTAGCTTCTTAAGAGATGAGTTTGCTTTCTGTTTTTGTCGATTTGGGCTTCACGCGGGGCCCCAGTGGGCGGCGCTGAGGTCAGCATCCAGCTCAGCGCATAGGGTGATGCTGGGTAGGGAACACGTTCCATCAGGCCTCGCGTTAGCCCAGCCGGCCGGCCAGCGTCTCCCCAGCGCCTCCCTGTGAGCTTTTATTTATAAAATCTGTTTCGTCATCATTTCAGCCCGATCCGGTTACGGATCTATTTTGCTTTGGTGGCTGCCTGTCTTTCATTCGGCACGTTCCTTTCCCTTGCACAAGGGAAGACAGTGATGGGGCGACTTGGGGTTGAGGCGCCCCGCTGCGACCCTCTTCTCACTAAGCCTTTCCATGGGCCATGTGATGCTCTTTTTTTTCTTTCTTTTTTTTTCTTTTTTGCTTTTTGGGTCACACCTGGCGAAGCTCAGGGGTTACTCCTGGCTCTGTACTCAGGAATCACTCCTGGCAGTGTTCAAGGGACCCTCTGGGATGCTGAGAACCGAACCCAGGATGGCTGTGTGCAAGGCAAATGCCCTACTCGCTGTGCTATCACTCCAGCCCCTCTTGTTTCTTTTGTTAAATTGTTATAATAAAATGTTGGCTGCGTGAAAGGCAAATGCCCTATTTCTATTACTGAGACATCTTTTATTTATTTAATTGAGCCCGGCGAGCTACCAAGAGTATCTCGCCTGCACGGCAAAGCCTGGCAAGCTCTCTGTGGCGTATTCAATATGCCAAACACAGTAACAAGAAGTCTCACAATGGAGACGTTACTGGGCCCGCTCAAGCAAATTGATGAACAACGGGAGGACAGTGACAGTGACTTTTTTTTAAAATTGAATCACCATGAGCTACAGTTACAAAGCTTTCATTTTGAGTTTCAGTCATACAATGATTGAACACCCATCCCTCCACCAGTGCACATTCTCCACCACCAATGTCCCCAGTATCCTCCCCTTTCCAACCCTCCCCCTGCCTCCATGGCAGACAATTTTCCCCCTAGTCTCTCTCTGCTTTTGGGCAGTGATGTTCTTTTTCTTGGAAGAGAACCAACCGCCTGGCACCCTAAGGTTTTTTCCTATTTTTTGGTGGGGGGCACACCCAGACTCCTGACTCTGTGCTCAGGGGCCCTCCTGGGGATTGAACCTATGTGCGAGGCTTGCCTTGAGCCTCTGAACAGTCTCTGTGGCCCCCTCCATGACGTGTTGCATCACACGGTTGTGCCTGCTGGGCTGATGGTGACGATGGCCCACTCTCTTTATTGCTCTCAGCTTTGGCTTTGGGGGTTGTTCCTGGTGGTACTCGGGGATCACATCTTGCTGCGAGGGATCCCACATGCAGTCTTGGCTCAGCCCGCTGACCTCTCGTCAGTCTGTCCTGTCCGTGCTAAGTCACCTTCCTGGTGGAAACTGCTGAGAAGTAGACCGGAGTGGGTGGCTGTCAAGAGACCCGCTCTGGGATTGCTGAAAGGGATCGCGTGGCTCAGGCTTCTGCCACAATGGGGTCTTCTCCCAGTGTCCTCCAGAGCGTGGGGCAGGGTATTGCTACCTTACACCTGACCAGGCCCCACAGTGACCCCGATGCCTCTGCCCACGGGGTGCTGGAGGCCCCCCTCGCACACAGCATCCTCCTCCGCCCTGCTCCCACTCCGGGCCCCCATTCCTCTCAGCACCCTGGGATTTAGTTGCACACCGAGACAGCACTTTTGGGTCTCTTCCACTGACGTGAGCCACGTCAGGCCCTTGAGCTGGCGTCCGTGACAAGCCGGAACGAGCCGGGATGGTGGGTGGCAACCGCGTTGGCCCAACTCTGCCTTGACTGTGGGGGGCTTTCACTTCCGTGCGCCATGTCCTTGCTGGCCTTCAGGGTCTCCGGGAGCTGCTTCCGGAGACAGCGGCAGGCTCTGCCGTGCTAACTCTCGCTTCTCTCCACAGTTGTCCCCCACATCACAGATGCGATCCAGGAGTGGGTGATGAATCAGTCCCTGGTCCCCGTGGATGGGCAACCGGAAGCGCCCCAGATCTGCGTGATCGAGGTAAGCATGAGACTTCTCTTTTTATATACTTGTGTCTTTCTGAACTTGACAAATTTTTTTTTTTTTGGTTTCTGGGTCACACCCGGTGATGCACAGGGGTTACTCCTGGTTCATGCACTCAGGACTTACTCCTGGTGGTGCTCGGGGACCAGATGAGATGCTGGCAATTGAACCTGGGTCAGCCGCATGCAAGGCAAACACCCTACCCGCTGTGCTATCGCTCCAGCCCCATTGACAAATATTAATTACTCGCCAGCCACTGGGCTAGAGGTTGGGGCAATGGGGCCTTCTGCTCACCAGTCAGCAGGCCCCATCGGCATTACACAGAGTCAACAGTCCTGGGGTGGGTGCGATCTGCAGAGAGAGAGAGACAGTTAATGTCAGGGGTGCCCTGGTACCAGACTGGCATGGCCGGGGCACAGCTGACCTTGGGCAGGTGGCAGCTCACCCCGTCCACTCATTATGGAACGCCTGTGGTGAGCACTGTTTGGTAAGTATTTGCATCGAGGAGAGAGAGCCTGAGTGAGGCCAGGCTGCCGTGAGGTGATTTAGAGGTGATCGTGAGAGAAGTGGCCGGGTTGAAACAAAGAATACATAGTATGACATTTTTTAAAATGTATTATCGCGGCTGGAGCGATAGCACAGCAGGTAGGGCATCTGCCTTGCACGTGGCCGACCCAGGTTCGATTCCCAGCATCCCATATGGTCCCCTGAGCACTGCCAGGAATGACTCCTGAGTGCAAAGCTAGGAGTAACCCTGAAGCATTGCCAAGTGTGACCCAAAATGAAAAAAAAAATATTATCTTGCTGTTTTGAACTTTTTTTTTTTTTGCTTTTTGGGCCACACCCGGCGATGCTCAGGGGTTACTCCTGGCTCACGCACTCAGGAATTGCTCCTGGCGGTGCTCGGGGGACCATATGGGATGCTGGGAATCGAACCTGTGTTGGCCATGTTGGCTGCGTGCAAGGAAAACGCCCCACCTGCTGTGCTATCGCTCCAGCCCCTGTTTTGAACTTTTGGTGCCACACTTGGCTGTGTTCAGGGCTGACTCCTGGCTCTATGCTTCGGTGTCACAGCTGGTGGTGCTTGGAGAACTGTATGTGGTGCCCAGGGCCAACTGAGGCTGGGTGTCTGCAAGGCAATACTCCTATCCTATCGCTCTAGCCCCAGAATGGAGTATTTGATTTTTTTCCACTTTGATTTGTGTGTGTGTGTGCGTGTGTGTGTGTGTGTTTGGGCCACACCTGGCAGTGCTCAGGGCTTATTCCTGACTGTGCTCAGGGATCGCGCCTAGCGGGTTTCAGGGGACCATAAGAGGCGCTGTGGATCAAACCCAGCTCGGTCCTATGCAAGGCAAGTGCCCAAGCCTGTCCCCTCGCTCTGGCCCCAGAATGTAAGATGTGAACTTACCCCTTGGCCACTCCCACCCCTCCCGTGCACGGTGGTAACTGCAATCCTGTCCTCCTCGCCCAGAGAGCAGCTGGAGGCTGAGAAGTGCCCTAGGGTTCAACTGTGCCTATTTCTGCCAACAACTCCCTCACCACCCCCCAGAAGAGTGCGGAGCCAGGTGGCCTGGCCCTGTTCCGGTGTGCTCACCTCTGCTCAGGCTCAGACTCCCCCCTCAGTGCTCCTCTAGAGCAGTCAGGGGCTCCACCAAGTGCGTAGGAGCTATCGGAAGCGCTCACAAGTCATTAGTCATTATGAAAACGCCTGCTGGCAAGTTCTCTCTCGAAGCTGCAATGTGTCCCTCTATAGCGCGATGATAAAATGTACAATTATGACATAAACAAGATGATAATAACAGGGTAGTTAGGAGGATTAAATGCGATTATATAAAGCACTTGGCAATGCCTGGCATTTAGGGAAGCACCCTATAAATATACGTTAGCTGTTAATGTCATCATTATCAGCGGGAGCAGATGGATAGAGATGATCTTCCAAATCTGACTTGGCGGCTGGGGAGACGGGTCCGAGGGCGCCTGAATGCGTCCTGTTTGTACCAGTGCAGTGGTCGCCGATGCAGTTCCCGATGCAGTTCCCGCAAGTGCAGCAGTGCCCGTCACCAGGCGGCCTTTACCGTCCGTGTCTCCCGCTGCAACGAGGAGGCTGGATCCAGGCGTGTGCACAATCGAGTCCTACAGTCGTGACTGTGTTCGTTGTGGCTGTGTTCGGGGTCCCACCCAATGTGTGGCACTTGGTTGAAACCTGGGCCATGAACTGGGCAGATCCCGAGGGCTGACGGGGCAGCAGAACACTTGTGTCCCCTTGGATTTTCGAGTCCACAGAGTGCCCTGAAACAGCCCCTGCAGATGCCCAGATGTGGTCAGAGCTCTGTGTCAGGAGAGCCAAGAGGGAGGCTTGGGTTTCAAAATATTCTTCATTTGGGGGGTTTGGGGGCCATATCTGGCAGTGCTCAGGGATCACTCCTGGTGCTGTTTGGGGAACTCGTGTGGTGCTAGGGTGTGACCTGGGCTCAGTCAGCAGGCACCTTCAACCCTGTACTCCCTTTCCGGCTGCAGGTAATTTTTTCCCTTCGGTTTGGGGGCCATACCCACTGGTGTTCAGGGGCTCCTCTGGGCTCAGTGCCCTGGGAACCATGTGGTGGGGGGCTCCAACCTGGGCCTCCGGTGTGTGAAGCCTGGGTCCCAAGCAGGAAGTTCGGTTGTCCCCATGTTTGGGCTATCATGAATAATGCTACTCTGAATGCATGATGTAAAAATCTTTCCAAGTTAGTGTTTTCGAAGCCTTGGAGTGGCGGGTTGGATCAGAGGCCAGGAATTTTAGGTTATATATTTTGTTGTTGTTGTTGATTATGGGGTTGGAGCGATAGCACAGCGGGTAGGGCATTTGCCTTGCACATGGCCCACCCAACCGACCTGGGTTCGATTCCTCTGTCCCTCTCGGAGAGCCCTGCAAGCTACCGAGAGTATCCCGCTCACACAACAGAGCCTGGCAAGCTACCCATGACGTATTCAATATGCCAAATGCAGTAACAACAAGTCTCACAATGGAGATGTTATTGGGCCCGCTTGAGCAAATCAGTGGACAACAGGAGGACAGTGCTACAGAGCTATGGTCGTTGATTATGGGCTGGAGCGATAACACAGTGGGTAGGGCATTTGCCTTGCACGTAGCCGACCTGGGTTCAGTTCTTCCATCCCTCTCAGAGAGCCCAGCAAGCTACCAAGAGTATCCCGCCTGCACAGCAGAACCTGGCAAGCTCCCCGTGGCATATTCTATATGCCAAAACCAGTAACAACAAGTCTCACAATGGAGACGTTACTGGTGCCCGCTCGAGCAAATTGATGAACAATGGAATGACAGTGCTACAGTGCTACAGGTGTTGGTTATGGTGCACACCCAGTGGTGTTGGGGATTGAACCAGGGCCGGCAGCGTGAAGGAAAGTGCTGCCTCTCCAGCGAGTGGCGGGAGAGCCTCTGGTGCCTGCACTGTGTGAGGTTAGCGAGAGCTGCGGCCCTCCAAGTGACGCTGTGATGTGTGAGTTCGCATCCGCACCAGGACACTTTCAAGGCACTGGCTTCCAGCCCTGGAGCTACAGGAAGAAAGTGCTTGGCTTTCAAACACTGAGCTTCAAAGACTATCACGGGCAGAGAAGGGATGACTAATCGATGATGACTAATCGATGGAAATGGCCACTCTGGACAAGAACTGAATGCCGAAAGGAGGGAAAGGGACATACATGATAATCCTCAGTACCCGTATTGCAACTGTATGGCCCAAAAGGAGGGGGGTCTGGGAAGGGAGAGAAGTGTCTGCTGTAGCGGCAGGCTGGGAGGGAAACTGGGGACACTGGTGGTGGGAAATGTATATTGGTGAAGGGATGGGTGTTGGAGCATGACATGACTGAAATCCAATCATGAACAACTTGATAACTGTGTATCTCACTGTGATTCAATTAAGTTTTTTTTTTAAAATAAATACATTAGGGGCTGGAGCAATAGCACAGCGGGTAGGGCGTTTGCCTTGCACACAGCCGACCCGGGTTCGGTTCCCAGCATCCCATATGGTCCCCCGAGCACCGCCAGGAGTAATTCCTGAGTGCAGAGCCAGGAGTAACTCCTGTGCATCACCGGGTGTGACCCAAAAAGCAAAAAAAAAATACATTAGGGGCTGGAGCAATAGCACAGTGGGTAGGGCGTTTGCCTTGCACATGGCCAACCCAGGTTCGATTCCCAGCATCCCATAAGGTCCCCCGAGTACCACCAGGAGTAATTCCTGAGTGCATGAATCAGGAGTAACTCCTGTGCATCGCCGGGTGTGACCCAAAAAGCAAAATAAATAAATAAATAAATAAATACATTAACAAAAAACAACCGCAAAGACTTATTATGGAAAACATGTAGCATATCTATAATTGAAAACAAAACCGGTGACAACTGAAGAGACAGTCCTGGGGTTAAGGCATGTTGTGTGCAGCCTACTTGGTTCCAGCTCTCCCTTCTGGCACCACTGTATGCCACATTGTCCCCAAGTACCTCTGGGCACCACTGCTGGGCACAGAGTGGGGAGTACCTCTGAGCACCGCTGGGATGGACCCAAGCTTCCATGCGAACGGACACAAAGGGGATTGGTTGAAATGGGAATCTTTGGAGATACTGGGTCATATGAATCATTGTATTAAAATTAATTTCCCTGACTTTCTTTGTGCAGAGTTGGTGTTTGGGACACACCCAGCAGTGCTCGGGGCTCACTCCTGGCTCCAAGTTCAGGGCTCACTCCTGACAGTCCTGGGGGACCATCTGAGGTGCCGGGGGGCTGAATCCAGGTCATTGTGTGCAGTGCAAGCCTTACCCGCTCTATTTCTTTGGCCCTGCTTGTATGTTTGGTTTGTTATTTTAATTGAGTCACAATGAGATGCAGTTACAGAGTTGCTCATGACTAGGTTTGATTTATTTATGTGGGTGTTTTTTTTTTACAGTGGTAGCTAAAACCTTAACTTACTAGCTTCTGCTGTCCGAGCAACAGGGCACATGTGAA